TTTCCCTCCTTCTTCCCTTCTCTCTTTCTTTCCCTCCTTCTTTCCTTCTCTTTCTTTCCCTCTTTCCTTCCTTCTTTCCTTCTCTCTACTCTCTTTCCTTCCCTCTTTCCTCCTTTTGTGGCCCAACTTTGCTCCCCCCCCCCACAGGCCAGCTGGGGAAGGGAAGGGGAGGCTTTGGAAGATGGCTCCCCCCCTTTTGCTTCCCCTTCTGACATCACTTCCGGTGATCTCAGGGGTCGTGGCAAATGCTAATAGCCTAGTAGCTCATTAGCATACCATATGCTAATAAGCTCCTGCAGCTCTTTTTCTACAAAAAGACCCCTGGCGGTACCTATTTATCTACTTGCAATTTCTTGCTTTCGAACTGCTAGGTTGGCAGGAGCTGGGGCCAGAGACGGGAGCTCACTCTGTCATGCCGCACTCAGGTCTCAAACTGTCGAACTACCGACCTTCTGGTCTGCAGTTCAGTATCTTAACCACTGAGCCACCGCAGCCCTGTTTTACAAGTGGAGACCCCAAATCCCATGAGAAGAAAAACCAGTTCTAAAACTGGAATGTATGATGCAAACTGAGGTGGTCTGCAACAGACTACAAGGTGACACCAGTGGTTCCATTTGTTAAATGCTTGCTTTCCTACTGAGCTCAGGTGCAGGGTTCTTGCCTATACGATCACCAGGAAGCAAAGTTGTCCAGTGCAAACTCAGGGATCTAAGCTAAGACTATCTATCCCCATCCCTTCGTTGATTGATCTGCGCAACCCAGACTATGACGTGCTGTAAACAAATAGGTTACGCATTGCAGAAATAATGCCAGCTGAACAAATGGCTACACATTAATGAATGTATTAAATTATTAAATTTATTAATGAGAGAATGTCTAAAATGAGCAGTTCGCTGCCAGAGGATGTAGTGATGGCCACAGGAATAAATGGCTATAAAAGGGGATTCATGAAGAAGAGGTCTCTCAGTGGCTACTAGCCATGGTGACTGAGGGGAACCTCCACAGTCAACCTCTGAATCCCAGAGCCAGGAGGCAACGTTAGGGGAAGGCTTCGGCCTCCATGCCCTGTTGTTGGCCCTCCAGAGGAACTGGCTGACCACCGTGTGAGACAGGATGCAGGACTAGACGGACCACTGGCCTGATCCAGCAGGGCTCTTCTTATGTCCTTGTGAATTTATTAATGTATATATTAAAATACGTATATCCTGCCTTTCCTCGTGGCTCAAGGCGGCTTACAAATCATAATTAAAGACATCGCAATTTAAAACCAACTAAATAAAAAACCCAAATAATGCCCAAAAAGATGCCTACAGTTTGCACCCCATGAAAACCCCCAATCACCACCTCAGGGAGTTTTTCCACAAAGTGAGTGCCACAGTGGGAAAAGCATGGGCACTGGTTGATGCCAGCCAGGCTACCTTCAGTGAGGGTGAAACCAATACGTAGAAGCTTGAGAACCACAGAGGGCACACACCGGCATCTGAACCAGCTCAGCTTTACGAAAGGCAAACACATTCAGGCCCTTGCTCCAAATCCAGGGTTCCATCAACCCCCAAATTTGTACACACCTGCCAAATCTTATCATGGACATTTTATCAGGGCATAGGTCACACCAGCCAATATCCTGTTTCGTGGTGTAGCTGAGCCACATGCTTTGCAGGTGGCAGATGCAGACAGTTTTGTCCCAGCGTCATCTCTGGTTAAACAGGTTTTAGGGTTTTTAGAAAAGAAAAACCTATCAGACCTGTTTACCAGAGGTGAGAGTGGGATACGTGTATGCACCATGAGCTGTGATCTCTCTTTGACACGGCTTCCAACCCTCTCTCTTTTTTTTGCCGTCAAGTCACAGCTGACTTATAGCAGCCCCCTAGGGTTCTCAAGACAAGAGACATTTGGAGGTGGTTTTCCATTGCCTGCCTCTGTGCCACAACCCTGGTATTCCTTGGAGGTCTCCCATCCAAATACTAGCTGGGGCTGCTCTGACCAGGATAGCCCAGGTAAGCCCGATCTCATCAGATCTCAGGAGCTAAGCAGGGCCGACCCTGGCAAGTATTTGGACGGGAGACCTCCAAAGAATACCAGGGCCGGGAGGCGGAGGCAGGCAATCAAGCCACATCTCTGAACATCCTCCGTGCCCCAGTAGGAGTTGCCAGAGGTTGCCCTGACTTTCAGGTATGGGTACACACACACACACACACACGCACACAAATGCAAAGATACCAACAACCCCCCCAAAAAAAACTAGCCAGGGCTGACCCTGCTTAGCAGCCAAGATCTGGTGAGTTGACACTAGCCTGGGCTACCCAAGTCAGGGCTCCAACCCGCAGATCTCCAGTTTATTTGAGCCAGAACAGGTGGGGTGTTTTTTTCAGTTTAGCTATTTTCCTCCCCAGTGGGGACCCAAAGAGGCTGACAATATCGTTCTCCCCTCTGCCATTTTAGCCTCCACCCAGCGAGGTAGGTTAGGCTGAGAGCGTGTGACTGGCCCAAGATCACCCAGCAAGTTGCCATGGCAAAATGGGGATTTGAACTAGGGTCTCCCAGAGCATGTGGTCAACCCCCCCCCCTGCCGCCATTCTTAGCCATGCAAGTGCCTCTGATTATGTAACAGACACAAGACGTGAGCCAGCTCTTCAAAGGCGTTCAACACGGTGACCTGACGGCTATTTCCTTTATTGCAGTGACATATTTTAAGCAGTGTGTGTGCACTAGAATCACTGCTGGGTCACTTCAGCCATGTATTCATGGGCCAGGCAGGTCACTCATTATATCCTTTATGTGACTATGTGAAGTCCTTTATCTGATTACATCAGAGCCCATTTCACAGTGGCAATCTCAGCTACCTGAATAAGATTTGAGAGGCATGAAGGGGGGGGGGGGATATTTTTCCATCAACTGCTCAAAACATTTTCAGCCCCAGACGGCTCTTCGGCTCCCAGGAGACCATTCCAACCTTTCCTGCCTTTACTTTACATTAATTTACTAAAAATGTGTTGCCTTTTTTAAGTCTTCCTCACAAAGAGCCTCACAGAAATCAGAACCTGGAGGGAGAGTGCTCCATAATTTAACACCTTTAAGTGTTAGCTAAAAAATCATTCTGATTTTCAACCTAATTTCGTCCGTGGTGAAGTAGGAGCTGAAGGCTCTCTTGCGTATGCACTCCTCAGAACAATGTTTTGTGTTTTAAAGTGTTTTTATAAATATTATTTTGCTATTAGCTACCTTTCAGCCTAGCTCCTTTCCCGCCACTGTAATTAGAGTTTTAGACTAGGATCTGGGACACTAAACCCTGAATCCCCCTGTGAGGTAGGTCAGGCTGGGTGATAGGGTTGCCAAGTGAGAAGTGGGGGAGCGTCGCCGGTCTCCGGGAGCCGTCTGAGAATGCGTGCGTGCGAGCGCCGCCAGCACGTCACCAGAAGTGACGCGCGACATCAATCACATTGAGGGCGTGGCCACGATCGTCAGAGGGAAAACCATAGAGTTTTCCCTCCAACGATTGGGGCCACGCCCCCAACGTGATCGACGTGGTTGTGTCACCTCCGGTGACGCAGCCACGCTGCACTTCAGGGGGCGGAGATCCCCCCGGGGCCCGATTCTGGGGCGGCGGAAATCGGGCCTCCGAAGCGGGGGGTTACCCGCCACCCGCCCCCACTTGGCAGCCCTACTGGGTGACCTTGGGCCAATCATTCAGTCTGACATACCTCACAGGGCTGCTGTTTTGGGTCCCGGTTGGGGAAGAATAACAGGGCATAAAAATCTAAAACAAACAAATATTACCAAAAACAAAGAGAGCCGATCACCATGGGAAAGTTACTCTCAGTCAAACCCACCTCACAAGGTTGTTGTAAGGGTAAAATGGGGGTAGGAAAGCCAGGTACACTACCCTGAGCTTTTTGGAGGAAGTATGTAAAAAAATAAACCACACACACGACAGGTAGATCTGTTAAATGTAAACTTCTAATTTTCTCTTAATAAAGCCCCATTCTTGTTTTATAGTCTGATCAAATGGTTTTTCCCTTTGCTTGCTCAGTCACACTGTATCTTTAAACATACCAATAATATATACAGAACACCAAGCTGTGTGTGAGAGAAGGACTAACAAGATGATCCCTACTACAAGCCAGCTACAGACATCACTGAGAAGGAAGGAGGAGGAGGAGGAGGAGATTGGATTTATACCCCGCCCTTCACTCAGAGTCTCAGAGCGGCTTACAAACTCCTTTCCCTTCCCCTCCCCACAACAGACAACCTGTGAGGTAGGTGGGGTTGAGAGAGCTCTCCAGCAGCTGCAAGGTTAGAGAACCGCTGTGACAGAACTATGGCTTGTTCAAGGTCATCCAGCAGCTGCAAGTGGAGGATTGGGGAATCAAACCCGGTTCTCCAAATTAGAGTCCGCACACTTAAACACTACACCGAACTGGAAGTGCTTTGTGGTTTGAACATCTTTTTAACTTATTCCTTAATGTCGACTGTTTCTGGCATGGCTTCATACACAAACGACATTCCATTCTGTGCAACTGAATTTCCTCATAGCCCCTATCAGGGGTCATTTCGTAGAAAAAGAGGTGCAGGAGCTCATTAGCATAACTTATTAGCATAACTTATTTGCATATTCCACACCCCCTGACATCACTGGAAGTGTGTCAGAAGGCAACACCCACTGCTCAGGCTCCACTGGACTGTTTTGGATTGCTAGCTATTGGGGGGGGGG